GAGGGGGAGGGGGGGGTTAACAGTGAACATTGAGAAGACAAAAGTTTTGATCTTTAACAACGTTCGGCTATGTAAGTATCTAGGTCTAACCTTAAGTGCATGCTTTCGGGAATTTATCGATCCTTCTTTACGGTAGTGAAGTCTGGGGCACAGACAATGTGAAGACTGGCAATCCAATTGAGTCAGTTCATATAAAATTTTGCAAAATGTTACTTGGGGTTGGAAGAAAGGCTAGACAAGCCGAATTAGGTCAACCTCCCGCATAAATCACTGATGCAAAATTAAAATCAGTTAAGTTTTGGCTACATAAAAAAACTCGAGAACCACCAAAAACTGTCTGCAATTGTATATAGAGAGTCATTAGCAACAAACAACAATAACTGGTCTAGTAAAGTAAAATCTTTATTAGACCGAAGCGGCTTAGGGAATATCTGGCTTGAAATAAACTGCAATCATCGTTCAAGTCAGAATCCATTCAAAATGATTAAAACTATAGAAATTCAAGTCTGGCGAGGGGAAAAGACTATAGAAGAGACCCCTCAGGCCAAAAAATAAATTAAGGAAATATCGTCTGGTAAAACAGATTACTCGTTTGAAAATTATTTAATCGAAGTTCAAAATTTTGAACACAGAAAATCATTAACCAAATTGAGAATTAGTAATCACGACCTTGAAATCGAAAAGGGAAGACATTCAAGGGATTCAAAAACAAAAACAAAAAAAACAAAAAAAAGAGAAGAAAGGAGATGCTTCCATTGCCCAGATAGTGTAGAAGATGAGAGGCACTTCATTCTTCACTGTACATTATATTCAAATCTAAGGGAAGGACTCTTCAATGACATAAAAAACATAAACAGTGATTCTCTTTTGTTAAATGAGAACGAGTTGTTTCTGCTATTTATGAGTCCGCCCAAAATGTTAGCAGTAGCAGTAGCAAAATATGTCCACAACTGCTTTATAAAGAGATCACATACAATACAGAATTAATATAGTATGTGGTCCTAGACTAAGCACTAAATACTAACTATACTAGATAGAATAAATAGGCGAATTTATCATAACATAATAGAAATTACTATAAATCAACAATTATAGCATTGATACATTTACTCGGGTAAAATGTCCATGTATATACTAATACTCGATACCGAATAAAAAAGTCTGTCTGTCTGTCTGTCTGTCTGTCTGTCTGTCTGTCTGCTGCTGGGATCTTATACCACATGATGCACATCATCGCAAGGATGATCGATGTCGATGGCGGATATCAGAGGAACATGACTCAGTATTGACCAACGACAATCAGTGCAACCATTGTCAATCAGTAAGAATATATTGCGTGACCAAAACAGCTTAAGACGTTATCTGAGTTTCAATTGGGTTTCAGAAATAATAATGACAAAGATTTTAAAAGTCAAAACCCGAAAGGGAGGCCATTTGATGTCTTCCTAGGTAACTAATAGCCACCTCACTTGAAATCGTTCTGAATCCATAAATGGTATGATCCCATCTGTTACCAAGGTAACGTAATGAAATGAAGTACACGCGGAACTTAGAGGTACGGCGCCAGCAGGGGACATGGCTTAATGACAAAGTATAGATATCATAGGAAAATTAGTAGAGGAAAACAAAGGCGAGAAGAAGAAAAAAAGACACTGAGGGTGCATGGTCACTGCCAGGGTTCCTTTACGTCCTATCAGTGGTTCTTTTACGTCCCTCCGCTGCAGGTTGAGGCAGTGTGGAGAGACGGGACCGCCATTTTACGTGGTCATCTGAGCCACGTGAAGGTCTAACCATTTGTAGTTATTATTACGGAGGCAGCACCTTCTCCTCAGTGATTTTAAGACCAGTGAGTGTAGGTCCGACTGGGACTCGAACCACGACCTCCCGCACGAACGTCCGATGCTCAACTAACTGAGCCAACCGGGTGGCGGTCTTGGCTCCATTTATTCGTTTTCTTCATGTTTGCTTTGTCTTTTCCTTCAATTCCCTTCCCTTCCCCCGGAAGGTGTGTTTGCTCGTTGCACGTCACATGCTAATCGAAAACGGCAAAACAATTTTTTCATTTCAAAGTTTATCGATTTCACTGACCTATTTAGTACATTTTTATGCAGGATATCACTGATTTGAAGAAGCGAAAAAAAAAGAAAAAAAAAAAAAAAAAATGAATAAAATGAAACGAAAAGACAACATCAAATGATCCGTTAATTCGACTTTAATGAGTTTTAATGGCTTGATAACATCATGATCTTCAGTAAATCTCTTTCTCAACATATCTTTGACTCTTTCAAGTGAAATCTTTTAAATGATTTTTTCTGTTGTTTCATAGTTAATAGACATCCCTTATTTTAACCTCATTTAATTTCTAAAAACTTTTAACACCAACTTTAACAATTTAGCCAAGTCTCAATTAGTTAAAATGCTTCGGTTTTTCCTTTTCACAAATGTATGACAACGGAGGACTTTTTTGTACGCATGTGTCATCATTCCATGTCATAGAATCCAAATACAAATGACCGCAATTTTCCACTCCTCCGTCGTTGTTGGGTTCACCAGATCGCCAGTTAGAATACTGCCCAGATAGATAGGTGCCATCTATCCACATGAACTTATGGTTCTTGTCTAAAAATGTAAGAGAAGAGAGAAAGTACCAAATCAGGAATTTATAGTCTCATAGTAGACAGTGGTCACGTGTTAATCAGTGACGTAATTTTTAGTGGAGTTAGGGGTAGGGGGGCTAAATGAGTAGACTGACTCACTGATCATGTCAGTTTTTCTGTATGGAATTGAGGTCTATAGGGCGTTGCATATCAACGCGAAAAGTACTTGGAAATGATCGACAGCTTCATCTCAAAAGAGCCTGCAGATTTGGCTATAGCAGAAGGAGCTCAACAATATCGGAGAGAGTCTCGCAACAATAATCAAAGATGATCATGTTGTACAAGACCTGCTTCCGCCAAGGAAAACACGCGTACATGTGAGCGCCAACATATATTACCACAAATATTTGCCTTCTGGAATTATGTACATTTACTAACTTTAATTTCAGTTGGTAACTAAACCATTCCCCAATGATAACGTGAACATCTTTTTCTGGCATTTATCATCATACTAGTAAGACTATACCTGCAACAAGTCCTATCCAAAGGTAGTTATTGTTTTTCGGAATCGCAAGCGCAAGGAGCGCCACATAGTTGTTTTCTTGTGCAGAGTCGATTTTCACAAGATCCCCTCCCATTGCAAAACATGCTTTTCGTGCCTCAATCCACTTCTTTGATGTTCCTCCAAGACGATAACAGGACCTTGAGCCTTCGTATGTTAGCCACCCATTTGGACAGGACACTGCATGGAATGAGAACGATTTCCATCATGCTAACATTATCAAACCGGATCAGAGGAATCAATTTGTCCTATTACATTCTCCGTCATGCAAATCAATACTGCTATTTCGAAAAGGTCGTTTTTCGAATACTGTTTTGTAAATATTATATTGAATATAGTGGTAGCGTATGTGGAGCGAACCTCACACACGGAAGAACTTTCCTTTCGGGAAGTTATGGTTGAAACATGAAATTTCTAGCGCTGTGACCAGATCAATGCAAAGCAGGGCAAAGATAAAAATTTCCGTTATATTTATGAAACTTAAAATTGAAATATGCATGCGACATCATGCATATCAGCTGTATCAACTCTCATGATTTTTAGTCATAGTGATACGAGGGAGGAAATGTTGAACACCCGCCCAATAAAAAACCCTAGGAAGAAAGAGAGCAGCAGATCAAACACGGTTGGCAAACCAATCCGTCATGAACTACATGCACAATGGGTTTACTTCAAAAATTCTATTGGACACGCAAATTCGGTACAAGTCCGTCAGTAATCATCACTTTTAAAGCAACATTTTTCAAAAAAGCTGTGAAGTCAGAACCATTTTTTTAAGAAAACCTGCACATTTTATCGAAACTTGAAGGGAGGAAGACGACATAGAACCCAGAGAAAAACCCTACTTGGACAAACAATCATAATCTTTGACTTACGATATCTTGCCTGAAGAAAAAAAATTGAGTCGTGTCATTGTCTTGAGAATAAGGGGTAAGAAGGAAAATCTCTACTTGAATAGAATATATTTTTTCCATGACATAGAAAGTATGACCAATCATAAATATGAAGGGAAGCCATACCCACCCCACAGAGGAATTTTGCATTTCTGAAGGGTAGGGGGGTCAGAAAGGGGACAAATGGGATGTATTACTATTGTTTGTATTAATAATAAATCTATATGACACCAAAGTAAGCAATAAGAACGACCAAAGGGATGGTCTGTTAAAGAAAAGAAAAACTTATATTCTACGACAATCACATAGGGTTCTTTCATGGGGTTTGCCCCACATGCTCTACCACTACATTCACTATCGTTACATTATACAATAATAATAATAATAA